TTAAGTTAGGTTAGTTAAGTTAGGTTAAGTTAGGTAAGGTTAGGTTATGCAAGTTAGGTTAGGTTAGTTAAGTTAGGATAGGTAGGTTAGGTAAGTTAGGTTAGGTTAGTTTAGTTAGGTTAGGTTAGTTAGGTTAGGTTATGCAAGTTAAGTTTGGTTAGGTTAGGGTATGCAAGTTTGGCTAGGTTAGGTTAGTTAAGTTAGGATAGATAAGATAAGTTAGGTTAGGTAAATTAGGATAGGTTAGGTAAGTTACGTTAGGTTAAGTTAGGTTACGTAAGTTAAGTTAGGTTAAGTTAGGTAAGGTAAGTTAGGTTAGGTTAGTTAAGATAGGATAGGTAGGTAAGGTAAGTTAGGTTAGGTTAGTTAAGTTAGGATAGGTTAGGTAAGTTAGGTTGGGTTAAGTTAGGATAGGTTATGTAATCTAGGCTAGGTTTAGGAACGTTATGTTAGGTAAGCAACATTAGGTCGGGAGGATAGGTTAGGTAGGTTTATGCAGTGTTGTTCAGAGAACGTTTTTAAGGTAAAGTGACTAAGAAAATATATATTTAACAGAAGTGCAGGTTTGATATGAAAAGCTGAACTAGCTATATTTGGAGAAAATTTTTATGACTGAAGATGTCTTAGAGAATGACATTGATGTCTTAAAGAATAACATGATGGAAGAAGGAGAGTTTCTTTGATGAATGAAGGTGACTTAGAGAACAACTTTCGATGAACAAAGGTGAGTTAGAGATTACCTTTGATTACTCTGAAAAAAACTTGATGAACGAAGATATCTTATAGAACAACTTTGATAGCTCTGAGATTAACTTTGATGTTTTAGAGAACTACTTTGATTAGCGAAGATGTCTTAGAAAGCTGCTCTGATGAATGAAAGGTTACTTAGAGAATAACATTTGATGACTGAGATTAACTTTTTGATGACTGAGATTAACTTTTTGATGACTGAGATTAATTTTTAATGACTCCGGGAATAACTTTGATGACTTAGAGATTAACTTTGAGTATATGAGAGTACCTTTTGATGAATCTGAGAATGACTTTGATGACTTAGAGAACAACTTTGATGACTTAGAGAATAACTTTAATGAACGAAAGTGATTTAGAGATTACCTTTTGATGTCTATGAGAATATCTTTGATAACTTTGAGAATGACTTTTGAGAACATGAGTGCAGGTGACTTAGAGATTAACTTTGATGAGCGAAGATATCTTGCAGAACAATGTTGATAGTACTGAGATTAACTTTTGATGTCTTAGAATAACTTTTGATGTTTTAGAGAATACCTTTGATGACTGAGATTAATTTTTTATGTCTCTTGGAATAACTTTGATGACTCTGAGAATAACTTTGATGCCTCTGAAAATTACTTTGATGTCTTACAGAATAACTTTGATGAATGAAGGTGAATTAGAGATTACCTTTGATGACTCTGAGAATAACTTGTATCTTACAGAACAATCTTACAGAACATTACAGAAGATATCTTACAGAACAACTTTGATGACCGAGATCAGCTTTTGAGGACATGAGAATACCTTTTGATGACTGAGATTTACTTTGATGTTTTAGAGAACAACTTTTGATGACTTAGAAAATAACTTTAATGAACGAAAATGAGTTAGAGATTACCATTGATGACTGAGAATACATTTGATGACTGAGAATATCTTTTGATGACATAGAGAATAACTTTGATGAGCGAAAATATCTTACAGAACAACGTTGATAGTACTGAGATTAACTTTTGATGTCTAAGAATAACTTTTGATATCATAGACAATACCTTTGATGACTGAGATTAATTTTTAATGTCTCTTGGAATAACTTTGATGACTCTGAAAATACCTTTGATGCTTCTGAAAATTACTTTGATGTCATACAGAACAACTTTGATGACCGAGATTAACTTTAGATGTCTGAGAATAACGCTCATGTACGAAGATGTCTGAGATTAACTTTTGATAGCGCTGAGATTAACTTTTTGATAGCTCTGAGATTAACTTTTTGATAGCTCTGAGATTAGCTTTTTGATAGCATAAATCTGAGATTAACTTTTGTGGACATGAGTAGTATTTAGATGTCTTTGAATGTGTCTTTGGGTGTGTCCTTGATGTATCGAAGAGTAACTTTGATGTCTCGAAGATTGTCCTTTGATTTCTCGCCGTGTAGCTTGTGTGTGTCTGAGTGTGTCCTTAATGTCTCGAAGAGTGTCCTTGACTATTTTTCTTACGAACGAAGCAAAATTTTAGTTACATTTGACTAATTTTGTACTCTACGATGTATACTGATAGTTACAAAAGTGTGAAACGAAGTTATATTGACTATTTTTTCTTACTTAACGACACGTAATTTTAGTTAGGAACAGTGATGAATATGAATTATATGAATAATTTTAGTTATATGATGAACAAGACTATTTTGAGTTACTTGATGATGGATAAAGTTAGTTATGAACAGTATTGGAAAGTTTCCTTTGACTATTTTTAGCTAAGAGAAAGGTTTATTTTAGTTAAGAACAGTGTTGAACGAGATTAATCCAGACTGCTTTCTGTTGATTGACAAGTAATTTTTAGTCAAGAAGTTACAAGAATAGTTTATCTTTGTAAATTTGGTACTGAATAAAGTGTAGATTTATTAAAGAACAGGGTTGGTAAGAACTAATTAGGTTGACTACGAGAATTACTTAGACCTAGTTTTGCAAATAAAACTGGGTGTCTAAATTTGTTAGGGGGAACTGTATTGCTGTTGATATTTGACAAAGAACTAGTTACTGAACGGAAGAAACAATTGATTTAAACGAAACAAAGAACATGAAAAGTGAAGAATACATAAGGGAATGAATACAGTGAACATACGGGGAAAATGGCAGAAAACAGAGAAAAAATGGAGGAAACTGGTGAAAAAATATGAACTGAACATGCTGTGAAAACTTGCTGAACATGGAGTGAACACAGAAAACATGAAAAAGAATGTGAAGAACACGGTGAACATAGAGAAAATATATAAATACAGTAGGATTATTGAAGGTTTGGATAAGTTGGGAAATGGGAGAGATGAAGGGGGAGGTAAGGGGGAGTAGGGGGCGAGGGTGAGATGAAGGGTGAAAGGGTGTTAGGGGAGATAAAGGAAGGGAATGTAGGGAATGAGAAGGTAAGGGAGGGAAAGGATAATGTGCGATTTTTGACCGTGTGATTATTGTTTACTTGGTTAAACAAAAGGTATTGAAGATAAGGTGTTATATGACCGGGTGAATATTACATAGCTGAGTACAAAAAGGGCATTAAAGGCCATGATACTTTGAAAGACTGGAGACGGACTTGATCTGAATTAATTTTGATGAACACTGAACTAAGGTGGAGGACACGAGCTGAAACTCGGTTAATGTCTTGATTTATTTTACTACGTTCGAAATATAGTGATCTTAAATTTCCGGGGAATTGGTCTGATAATAAAGAACATGTACAAATGAGCTAAGGCAGCGGACGTGAGCTAGAGTTCAGTAATTGTTCGGAACTATTTTACTATGTCTGAAAATACCGCAGTTATAAATTTCAGGGAAAATAGGGGTGATAGTATTGAATCTACGAGAGAGAACTAAAGGATATGAGAGGGAACTAAAGTGGGGGACAGGAGCTGGAGCTCGGTAACTGACTTCATCTTATTTACTGTTTCTGAAACACAGGGGGTTTAAATTTCAGGGAAATTGATTAGGTATTAACGAAGATACGAGAGAGGGCTAAGGCGGTGAACAAGAGCTAGAACTCGGTAATTATTCGGATCATATTTACTACATCTGAAATATGACTTTAAAATTTCAGGGTGATTGGGCTGCTAGTAAAGATGTTATGAGAGAGGGTTAAGGCAGGAACAGGAGCTAGAACTTGCTTACTGACTTCGTATATTTCACTACGTCTGAATGTCTGGCTGTTTAAAATTTCAGGGAAATTATTAGGTTAATATTGGGACTACACTTATAAATGCGGACTCTTAACAAATTTTCATCATGAACTGGACTCTGTCTAATTTTCAGGCTCAAATTGGACTCTGCTTAATTTTCGGTCATTACTGGACTCTGGTTTTTGGTCTTTACTTGACTCTGAATATTTTCGGGCATAAATCAGACTGACGAAATTTTCGGTCATATATTGGACTCTGAATATTTTCGGGCATAAATTGGACTCTGACTAAATTTCTGTCTTAAAGTTCTTGGCTAAGATGTTTGTTTTCCTTAACAAATCTTCTGTGAACATATTCTCAGAAAATGCTTTTTGAAAAATGTGCAATTTGAAAACGGGCAAAGGTTGTCTGTAGAGTTTACCTGGAAATGATGTGTCTTAAAGGGGATTTTTTTCTGATTTTTTCTATAAGATTTTCCTACTTATTTTCCTCATAAGAACTCTTAACAAACTTCTAAAATCTCGGAATTTATTTTCCTCATAAGAATTCCCTAATTCCAAATCAGTGATTGCCGAAATTTACCTGGAACTCCTGACGACATATGGATGTTTTCCCCCCTGGAAAAAAATCACCCATATGTCGTCATCCCTGCTACTAGTGAAGAGGGCCATGGCAGGTGAGTGACAAGGGCCAGGGCGGGTAAGTGACAAGGTCAAGCACGGGTGAGTGACAGTGGCCAGGGCGGGTGAGTGACAGTGGCCAGGGCGGGTGAGTGACAGTGGCCAGGACGGGTGAGTGACAAGGTCCAGGGAGGGTGAGTGACAGTGGCCCGGGCGGGTGAGTGACAGTGGCCAGGGCGGGTGAGTGACAGTGGCCAGGGCGGGTGAGTGACAGTGGCCAGGGCGGGTGAGTGACAGTGGCCAGGGCGGGTGAGTGACAGTGGCCAGGGCGGGTGAGTGACAGTGGCCAGGGCGGGTGAGTGACAGTGGCCAGGGCGGGTGAGTGACAGTAGCCAGGGTTGGTGAGTGACAAGGTCCAGGGAGGGTGAGTGACGAGGGCCAGGGCGGGTAGTACACCACGCGAGCTCTCCCTGCAGGACGGGTGTTACGTGCCGTGTGAGGGCGACTGCGAGCTGACAGAGTGGGCGTCGTGGTCTCACTGCCACAGGGACTGTTCCAGAGGACACCAAGGTACTCTCCCTCACCCTTCCCTCACCACTCACACCTCACCAGTCATGACCTCACTCCCTCCACCCCTCACACCTCACCACTCATCTTCTCACTCCCTCCACCCTCACACCTCACCAGTCATCTCCTTACTCCCTCCACCCTCACACCTCACCAGTCATCACCTCACTCCCTCAACCCTCACCAGTCATCTCCTGACTCCCTCCACCCTCACACCTCACCAGTCGTCTCCTCACTCGTTCCAACCTCACCAGTCATCTCCTCACTCCCTCCACCTTCACACCTCACCAGTCATCTCCTCACTCCCTCTACCCTCACACCTCACCACTAATCTCCTCACTCTCTGCACCCTCACACCTCACCAGTCGTCTCCTCACTCGCTTCAACCTCACCAGTCATCTCCTCACTCCCTCCACCCTCACACCTCAACAGTCATCACCTCACTCCCTCCACCCTCACATCTCACCAGTCATCTTCTCACTCCCTCCACCCTCACCAGTCATCACCTCACTTCCTCCAACCTCACACCTCACCAGTCGTCTCGCTCCCTCCACCCTCACAACTCACCAGTCATCACCTCACTCACTCCACCTTCACCAGTCATCTCACTACCTCCACCCTTAAACCTCACCAGTCATCTCACTCCCTCCACCCTTAAACCTCATCAGTCATCACCTCACTCCCTCCACCCTCACATCTCACCAGTCATCACCTCACTCCCTCCACCCTCACACCTCACCAGTCATCTTCTCACTCCCTCCACCCTCACCAGTCATCACCTCACTCCCTCCACCCTCATCAGTCATCACCTCACTCAATCCAACCTCACACCTCACCATGCATCATGTAATCACTCACATATTGTTCACTGATTATATTTTTATATGAACAGCTTCTCTAGTAATATGCTGGAGTACTTCACATGTTTAGCACCGTCCACAGGTTTCAGTATCCCGTCCTCTTAAAAATAACGTCACTTTTCGCTGGTATGCGCACTTCGGCCAAATTTGGACGTAATTTGAAATGAAATCGACTCACAAAAGTGACGTACTGTTCCGTTTTCTGTTTGAGTCGTCCGGCTTACTCTGCAAGCTTAGAAGAGGAAACGTTTCATTAACGTTTTTCATAACGTTTTGAAACTTTATAAGAATCAGAAGACCCTTAACTTACTGTTGTTGCAAAAAAAATCCCAAATTTATTTTCATTTTCAAATTACGTCCATATTCGGCCGTACGGGCAAACGGCCAAAAGTAACGTTCTTTTTAAGAGGACAGGTTAAGCCATCACTGTAACACCAGGATTACTATACATGTTTAGCACCGTCCACAGGTGTCTGATGCCCCCAACACTGTAACACCAAGACATACAAAATACTCTACTCTGAATCATGGACCCATCATCCTCCGCGTGATCCCAAGACCCTCCACATGAACCCAATACCTTCCACATGAACCCAATACCCTCCACATGAACCCAAGACCCTCCACATGAACCCAAGACCCTCCACATGAACCCAAGACCCTCCACATGAACCCAAGACCCTCCACATGAACCCAAGACCCTCCACATGAACCCAAGACCCTCCACATGAACCCAAGACCCTCCACATGAACCCAAGACCCTCCACATGAACCCAAGACCCTCCACATGAACCCAAGACCCTCCACATGAACCCAAGACCCTCCACATGAACCCAAGACCCTCCACATGAACCCAAGACCCTCCACATGAACCCAAGACCCTCCACATGAACCCAAGACCCTCCACATGAACCCAAGACCCTCCACATGAACCCAAGACCCTCCACATGAACCCAAGACCCTCCACATGAACCCAAGACCCTCCACATGAACCCAAGACCCTCCACATGAACCCAAGACCCTCCACATGAACCCAAGACCCTCCACATGAACCCAAGACCCTCCACATGAACCCAAGACCCTCCACATGAACCCAAGACCCTCCACATGAACCCAAGACCCTCCACATGAACCCAAGACCCTCCACATGAACCCAAGACCCTCCACATGAACCCAAGACCCTCCACATGAACCCAAGACCCTCCACATGAACCCAAGACCCTCCACATGAACCCAAGACCCTCCACATGAACCCAAGACCCTCCACATGAACCCAAGACCCTCCACATGAACCCAAGACCCTCCACATGAACCCAAGACCCTCCACATGAACCCAAGACCCTCCACATGAACCCAAGACCCTCCACATGAACCCAAGACCCTCCACATGAACCCAAGACCCTCCACATGAACCCAAGACCCTCCACATGAACCCAAGACCCTCCACATGAACCCAAGACCCTCCACATGAACCCAAGACCCTCCACATGAACCCAAGACCCTCCACATGAACCCAAGACCCTCCACATGAACCCAAGACCCTCCACATGAACCCAAGACCCTCCACATGAACCCAAGACCCTCCACATGAACCCAAGACCCTCCACATGAACCCAAGACCCTCCACATGAACCCAAGACCCTCCACATGAACCCAAGACCCTCCACATGAACCCAAGACCCTCCACATGAACCCAACACCCTCCACATGAACCCAACACCCTCCACATGAACCCAACACCCTCCACATGAACCCAACACCCTCCACGTAAACCCAACACTCTCCACGTGATCTCAAGACCCTCCACATGAACCCAACACACTCCAATTGAACCCACCACCCTCCACATGAACCCAACACTCTCCACGTGATCCCAAGACCCTCCACATGAACCCAACACCCTCCAATTGAACCCACCACCCTCCACATGAAACCAACATATTCCACGTGAACCCAACACCCTCCAGGTGAACCCAACACCCTCTACATGAACCCAACACCCTCAACATGAACCCAACACGCACTCCACATCATCCCAACACACACTCCACATGAACCCAACACCTTCCACATGACCCAAACACACTCCACATAAACCTAACACACACTCCACATGGTCCCAAAACACACACCACACACACACACACACACACACACACACACACACACACACACACACACACACATACACACACACACACACACACACACACCACATACACGCACACACACACACACACACACACACACACACACACACACACACACACACACACACACACACACACACACACACACACACACACATGACACACACACACACACAACATGAACCCAACACACCACATGAACCCAACACACACATCAGATGAACCCTACACACCCACAACAAGATCCCAACACACACACCACATGAATCCCAACACACACACCGCATGAATCCCAACACACACACCGCATGAATCCCAACACACACACCGCATGAATCCCAACACACACACCGCATGAATCCCAACACACACACCGCATGAATCCCAACACACACACCACATGAATCCCAACACACACACCGCATGAATCCCAACACACACACCATATGAATCCCAACACACACACCACATGAATCCCAACACACACACCATATGAATCCCAACACACACACCACATGAATCCCAACACACACACCACATGAATCCCAACACACACACCACATGAATCCCAACACACACACCATATGAATCCCAACACACACACACTATGAATCCCAACACACACACACTATGAATCCCAACACACACACCCTATGAATCCCAACACACACACCATATGAATCCCAACACACACACCACATGAATCCCAACACACACACCACATGAATCCCAACACACACACCATGTGAACCCAACACACACACACTCATCACATGAACCCAACACACCTACTACATGAACCCAACACTCACCACATGAACCCAACACATCACATGAACCCAACACATCACATGAACCCAACACACACCACATGAACCCAACACACACCACATGAACCCAACACACACCACATGAACCCAACACACACCACATGAACCCAACACATCACATGAACCCAACACACACCACATGAACCCAACACACACCACATGAACCCAACACACACCACATGAACCCAACACACACCACATGAACCCAACACACACCACATGAACCCAACACACACCACATGAACCCAACACACACCACATGAACCCAACACACACCACATGAACCCAACATACCCACTACATGACCCCAACACACACTTCACGTAGAAGATCCCAAAACAATCCAAGGGGACTGAAAACATGAAGTACAGACTCAACATTTTCTACGGGAGACCAACACCCTCCAATGGGACCCACTCTTGGGGCACCCAACACACTCCAGGCGGTACCCAACGCACTATAGGGACTCAAAACACTCACTGGGGACCCAACGCACTACACTGAACCCATTAACTTTAATCCAATAAATCCTAATTTGTGATTTTCAGTGTGATTTATTATTGACATAAAATGTTTCTCTCATGTTGTCCTGTGTAAATAAATAAATCATATATATAACGATGGATTCCAAACCTTAAATATTAAGAAGTTCTTGAAGTGAGACATGAGTAGGGTGAATATTACTCAGTTGTGATCTTTATGGAGACTCATATGACTCACCACAGGAGGTACTCAGGCGAGGTCGCGAGCGGTGTTGACGGAGGGGTCGACGGTGGGCGTGGAGGGGCGCCGCTCCTGCCCGGGGCCCATGTGGGAGACGAGGCCCTGTCTGGCGGGCCCCTGCTTCACCTTCACCTGGCGGGCCCTCAACGGTACCGTCCAGTGTGTGCGAAGCGACGGACTCCTGGCCACCGGTGAGTCCCGGAGTGTCCTGGGTGTTGGTGAGTCCCGGAGTGTCCTGGGTGTTGGTGAGTCCCGGAGTGTACTGGGTGTTGGTGTGTCCTGGGTGTTGGTGAGTCCCGGAGTGTCCTGGGTGTTGGTGAGTCCCGGAGTGTCCTGGGTGTTGGTGAATCCCGGTGTGTACTGGGTGTTGGTGAGTCCCGGAGTGTACTGGGTGTTGGTGTGTCCTGGGTGTTGGTGAGTCCCAGTGTGTCCTGGGTGTTGGTGAGTCCCGGAGTGTACTGGGTGTTGGTGAATCCCAGTGTGTCCTGGGTGTTGGTGTGTCCCAGTGTGTACTGGGTATTGGTGTGCCCCAGTGTGTACTGGGTGTTGGTGAGTCCCAGTGTGTACTGGGTGTTGGTGTGTCCTGGGTGTTGGTGTGTCCTGGGTGTTGGTGTGTCCTGGGTGTTGGTGAGTCCCAGTGTGTCCTGGGTGTTGGTGAGTCCCGGAGTGTCCTGGGTGTTGGTGAGTCCCAGTGTGTACTGGGTGTTGGTGTGTCCTGGGTGTTGGTGAGTCCCAGTGTGTCCTGGGTGTTGGTGAGTCCCAGTGTGTCCTGGGTGTTGGTGAGTCCCAGTGTGTACTGGGTGTTGGTGTGTCCTGGGTGTTGGTGAGTCCTGGGTGTTGGTGAGTCCCAGTGTGTCCTGGGTGTTGGTGTGTCCTGGGTGTTGGTGTGTCCTGGGTGTTGGTGAGTCCTGGGTGTTGGTGAGTCCTGGGTGTTGGTGAGTCCCAGTGTGTACTGGATGTTGGTGAGTCCCAGTGTGTACTGGGACTCACCAACATTTCCGGAGCCATCTCCGTTTTTCGTCCCAATTCCCTTGTTTATGCGCTATTCACACTGTTGTTCCCATTAATTATATTACCTGGTTCTAGTTGCTTTTCTTCAATCTAATATGAATGCTTCGGTCTCTGTTCGATTCCTTCAATCTCCCTATTTTAATAATTCCTTCTCTGTATGGAAAGACTTGTCTGCTTAAGCATTTCCGTTAATTTTTTTACTTCTTTTGTAGTGTCCTCTGCGTTCTAATTCTACGGTAGACCCGTTTCTGGCTTTCCTCAAAGGAACAAGTTTCAGACAGACTTCATATGCTTCAAAAGCCAGTTTTTTAATTCTTTGTTGAGTCCTGGGTGTTGGTGAGTCCCAGTGTGTCCTGGGTGTTGGTGAGTCCCGGTGTGTCCTGGGTGTTGGTGAGTCCCGGTGTGTCCTGGGTGTTGGTGAGTCCCGGTGTGTCCTGGGTGTTGGTGAGTCCCGGTGTGTCCTGGGTGTTGGTGAGTCTGAGTGTTTTCTGGGTATTGTTGAGTCCCAGTGTGTCCTGAGTGTTGGTGAGTCCCAGTGTGTCCTGGGTGTTGGTGAGTCCCGGTGTGTCCTAGGTGTAGGTGACTCCCGGTGTGTCCTGGGTGTTGGTGAGTCTCAGTGGTCCTGGGTGTTCGTGAGTCCAAGTATGTCCTGGGTGTTGGTGAGTCTCAGTGGTCCTGGGTGTTGGTTAGTCCCAGTGTGTCCAGGGTGTTGGTGATTCCTGGGTGTTGGTGACTCCCGGTGTGGCCTGGGTGTTGGTGAGTCCCAGTGGCCCTGGGTGTTAGTGAGTCCCGGTGTGTCTTGGGTGTTTGTGAGTCCCAGTGGCCCTGGGTGTTAGTGAGTCCCGGTGTGGCCTGGGTGTTGGTGAGTCCCAGTGGCCCTGGGTGTTAGTGAGTCCCGGTGTGTCTTGGGTGTTGGTGAGTCCCAGTGTGTCCTGGGTGTTGGTGAGTCCCGGTGTGTCCTGGGTGTTGGTGAGTCCCGGTGTGTCCTGGGTGTTGGTGCAACCTGTCCTCTTAAAAATAACGTCGCTTTTGGCCGTTTGCCTACATGGCCGAAGGTGGACGTAATTTGTAAATGAAAACAAATGAAAATAAATTTGGGATTTTTTTCTCAACAACAATAAGTTAAGGGTCCTCTGGTAGGTTAGGTGGGCACGTGATTCTCTTAAACTTTCAAAACGTTATGAAAAACGTTAATTGAAAGTTTCTTCCCCTGACCTCACCGAGCAAGATGGACGACTCAAACAAAAAACGGGAGAGTACGTCACTTTTGTGAGTCGATTTCTTTTCAAATTACTTCCATATTTGGCAATAGCACGCCTACGAGCTAAAAGCGACATTATTTTTAAGAGGACGGGTTGGTTGGTGAGTCTCGGTGTGTCCTGGGTGTTGGTGAGTCCCGGGGTGTCCTGGGTGTTGGTGAGTCCCGGTGTGTCCTGGGTGTTGGTGAGTCCCGGTGTGTCCTGGATGTTGGTGAGTCCCGGTGTGCCCTGGGTGTTGGTGAGACCCGGTGTGTCCTGGGAGTTGGAGTGTCCCCAGTGTATCTTGGCCACAGGTGAGTCTCAGAGTGTCCTGGGTGTTGGTGAGTCCCTGTGTGTCCTGGGTGTTGGTGAGTCCCTGTGTGTCCTGGGTGTTGGTGAGTCCCAGTGTGTCCTAGGTGTTGGTGAGTCGCAAGGTGTCCTGGGTGTTGGTGGTTCCCAGTGTCCTGGGTGTTGCATAGCCACAGTGTGTCCTGGGTGTTGCATAACCACAGTGTGTCCTGGGTGTTGCATAGCCACAGTGTGTCCTGGGTGTTGCATAGCCACAGTGTGTCCTGGGTGTTGCATAGCCACAGTATGACCTGGGTGTTGCATAGCTACAGTGTGTCCTGGGTGTCGCATAGCCACAGTACGTCTGGTTAGTCCCGGTGTGTCCTGGGTGTTGGTGAGTCCTGCTGTGTCCTTGGTGTTAGTGAGTCCGTGTTTTCTGGGTATTGTTGAGTCCCAGTGTGTCCTGGGTGTTAGTGAGTCCCAGTGTTTTCTGGGTATTGTTGAGTCCCAGTGTGTCCTGGGTGTTAGTGAGTCCCAGTGTTTTCTGGGTATTGTTGTGTCCCAGTGTGTCCTGAGTGTTGGTGAGTCCCAGTGTGTCCTGGGTGTTGGTGAGTCCCAGTGTGTCCTGGGTGTTGGTGAGTCCCAGTGTGTCCTGGGTGTTGGTGAGTCCCAGTGTGTCCTGGGTGTTGGCGAGTCCCAGTGTGTGCTGGGTGTTGGTGAGTCCAAGTGTGTACTGGGTGTTGGTGAGTCCCAGTGTCCTGGGTGTTGGCGAGTCCCGGTGTGTCCTGGGTGTTGGAGAGTACCGGTGTGTCCTGGGTCTTGGTGAGTCCCGGTGTGTCCTGGGTGTTGGCGAGTCCCAGTGTGTCCTGGGTGTTGGTGAGTCCCAGTGTGTCCTGGGTGTTGGTGAGTCCCAGTGTGTCCTGGGTGTTGGTGAGTCCCAGTGTGTGCTGGGTGTTGGTGAGTCCCAGTGTGTACTGGGTGTTGGTGAGTCCCAGTGTCCTGGGTGTTGGCGAGTCCCGGTGTGTCCTGGGTGTTGGTGAGTCCCGGTGTGTCCTGGGTGTTGGTGAGTCCCGGTGTGTCCTGGGTGTTGGTGAGTCCCGGTGTGTCCTGGGTGTTGGCGAGTCCCGGTGTGTCCTGGGTCTTGGTGAGTCCCGGTGTGTCCTGGGTGTTGGAGAGTACCAGTGTGTCCTGGGTGTTGGTGAGTACCCGTGTGTCCTGGGTGTTGGAGAGTACCGGTGTGTCCTGGGTGTTGGAGAGTACCGGTGTGTCCTGGGTGTTGGTGAGTCCCGGTGTGTCCTGGGTGTTGGTGAGTCACAGTGAGTTCTGGGTTTTTCATGGGGTTTCATGGATAATTCTGAGTGTGTGTGTTCTGAGTGTGTCACATGGGTAAAAAGGGCATGGGCGTGGGTATTAGGACATGGGCATTAAGGCATGGATACTTTCCCATTTATATGTACTTATGTTATACACACATACAAGTGTTTATTGAAATAAGACGGTGTGAATACATATAAGTATTCATAAACAAAACCCTACCAGTGAATACTCGTGCACCAGAGTATACCAGTTAATACTGGTGCACCACAGTATACCAGTGTATACAGGTGCACCAGAGTATACCAGTGTATACTGGTGCACCAGAGTATACCAGTTAATACTCGTGCACCAGAGTATACCAGTTAATACTGGTGCACCAGAGTATACCAGTGTATACTGGTGCATCACAGTATACCAGTGTATACTGGTGCACCAGAGTATACCAGTGTATACTGGTGCACCACAGTATACCAGTGTATACTGGTGCACCAGAGTATACCAGTGTATACTGGTGCATCATAGTATACCAGTGTATACTGGTGCACCAGAATACACCAGTGTATACTGGTGCATCACAGTATACCAGTGTATACTGGTGCACCACAGTATACCAGTGTATACTGGTGCATCACAGTATACCAGTGTATACTGGTGCGCCACAGTATACCAGTGTATACTGGTGCGCCAGAGTATACCAGTGTATACCGGTGCGCCAGAGTATACCAGTGTATACTGGTGCGCCAGAGTATACCAGTGTATACTGGTGCGCCAGAGTACACCAGTGTATACTGGTGCGCCAGAGTATACCAGTGTATACTGGTGAGCCAGAGTATACCAGTGTATACTGGTGCGCCAGAGTATACCAGTGTATACTGGTGCGCCAGAGTATACCAGTGTATACTGGTGCGCCAGAGTATACCAGTGTATACTGGTGCACCAGAGTATACCAGTGTATACTGGTGCGCCAGAGTATACCAGTGTATACTGGTGCGCCAGAGTATACCAGTGTATACTGGTGCGCCAGAGTATACCAGTGTATACTGGTGCGCCAGAGTATACCAGTGTATACTGGTGCGCCAGAGTATACCAGTGTATACTGGTGCGCCAGAGTATACCAGTGTATACTGGTGCGCCAGAGTATACCAGTGTATACTGGTGCGCCAGAGTATACCAGTGTATACTGGTGCGCCAGAGTATACCAGTGTATACTGGTGCGCCAGAGTATACCAGTGTATACTGGTGCGCCAGAGTATACCAGTGTATACTGGTGCGCCAGAGTAAACCAGTGTATACCGGTGCGCCAGAGTATACCAGTGTATACTGGTGCGCCAGAGTAC